GACCTGCCAAAGGGCAGGCAGAAATTCTTTTGAGACGAACTTGAGCCTTCGTTACAGCAGGTTTGCGAGAGGTAGATAAGTGTTATTGGATTACTGGAAACTGTATAAAGAGAAGAACTGAACGTTCAAAGCCGTATGCTTGACATGCCCGCTAAGGATGGTATAAGAGCTTTATCAACAATAATATTTGTTAGAAGATAAGCAGCAAAAGGTAGATGATCTGAGTGTCATTCTTTCAAAATGACTTGACATATGATAGGAATCGTATGCAATTGCGTCCATTTCTTCACCAACGATGTAGCAGGATCTCCAAAACGGTTGCCGCCTTTGCCTGCGGAGAAACTTAGGGGTTATAGTAGGGTAAACTTCCCTCAAGGTACTCGAGGGCATCGCTCTTGACCATAATTTTTTTGAATTTTTTTCGGATCCCGTACGATACCCTCTTTGCTTTTCTCCACAAAAACGATTTCCCGCTTGCCCTCAGGAGACCTGCAGCCGAGGCCTAGTCCCTATGCTCCGTTGCTGGATCCCTTTTAACGATCCGCTGCACTTTTTCGAAGCAATAAAAAACCATAAATGGTTCAGCATTATGCCCGAAAAGTAATGTTTTGCGAATGTTTGCAAAGAAAAGTTTATGACACGGAGAACAGAAGATCGCTCTACAAAAAGAACTACAAATGATGCATGGAAGGAGAACGAGTTTGATAAATTTCAGGAAAAAAACAGAAAGGAAGGAATATTGCGAACTAACAACGAAACGTGTCTTCTTCCGAATTGACCAAGCCGATTGACGTGAGGACCGCCTTTGCCGATTTTGTGATCCCTGCGCAAGACGAAACCACTTCTAGCGTTCCACCGAATTTTGTTGCAAAGATAGGAAAGTAAGTACATTTTGTCCAGATAATATTGGTCGTAACACCTCATCTTTTATATAGGTAGTAGAAAATTATTAATTGATGTGGAAGCTTTCCTAAATTAATCAAGTCTGCTAGATTTCTGTGGTAGTTTCTGTATGCATGCTAAACTTAAGTAATTTTCAACCAAGCTAACATTTTTGTTGAAAATGATTTTTATTGTAAATTGTTTGAAAACACGGAGGATAATGTCTTCAACTGTTTATCCTACAATAACGCACATCCGCCACCATCAAGGGTAGAGCAACAAAGCCTGATTATTTTGT